GTAGGTGATAAAAACCCAACAGCCGTTTGTGCCAATGCGCCTTTGTTTAGGAGAAACTGCGAAACAAAGTTAAAGTCACGCAACTACGCCGCTCATATCCATCAAATTCCCATGGCCTCCAAGGATGCTCCCAAAACTGCTTTTTCAACTCCTTATGGGCATTACCAATTTAAAAGAATGCCCTTCGGTTTAAAAAACGCCCCTGCAACATTCCAAAGGTTAATGGATAATGGACAAATCTCTCCGGATTACAAGGTAATGAATTATTTGTATACATGGATATTGTCATATATGTAAGATCATTAAAAGAACATGAAATTAAATTTAATAAATTAATGCAAAAATTACGAGATGCAAATTTTAAAAAATTACAACCAGATAAATGTGAATTCTTACAACATGAAGTAGCTTATCTCGGAAGCATCACCGAATTTCTTATCAATTGTTTAGACAGAGATATCTTTTTCATTGAGGCGCGGCGATGAGCAAAGGGTAATGCGTGAATTTCATCGGAGGTGTCGGTTGACATCTCTGGAAAATCAATGTTTGACATATTTATGACTTCCTCTTTGATTACCTCACGCAAAAGTTATGCGCTCTTAATTTTAATATTAATATCTAACGCTATCGGTATTAGGATTATAGAGTCATTATATATACGTATAACTTCCCTTATATTTTAGAAAAGATTTAGAAATATGTGTCAATTTTAGTAGAATAATTGAATTTAAATTACAGCATATAAAGGAAGTTATTTACACAAATTTTAAATAAAGCATTTCAAAGAGTTGGAATAATTTGGTAGTTATTCATTTAAAATCAATCCAATAATTCCCTGGAAATACCTTTTTTACTTAAATTATTTATTTAGGTCGCATTGTTTAAAGTTTAAATTTAGCATGCACAAAAAGTCCGTATTATACAGGGTGTTCAAAAAGTCCCGGTACGGGGGAATAACTCGAAAAGTAAGGGTCGGACAAAGAAACTTTTCGGACAAAAGTTGTAGGGCTTACTCCGAGCTTTTATCTCGTGACCTTGAGTTTGACCTTGAGCTTGACCTTCAAGGTTATTTAAAGGTCAAAGTGTTTTTTTAAAATGGGAACCCCTATTTTTGATTCTATATTCTTATAGCTGACCTCGAGAGCTTTTCAAAACACTATAATAAAATATTTTTCCCTCAAGCATTTATCGAGTTATGAGGCTTCAAATCATTTCTTAATTTTACATAAACCGTAAAATATCTTGTAAAATATTCACTTTTCGATTATTTTACCTTAATACTTTTATGTACAAAATAATGAGAGGAATCAATTGATCTAAAAAAAAACACATAATTGTTCCGAAAAAAAAATATGTAATTTGCAATTAACAATTACATATTTTTTCTTAAAAACAACTGTATGTTTTCTTTACACCAATTGATTCCTCTCATTATTTTGTACATAAAAGTATTAAGGTAAAATAATCGAAAAGTGAATATTTTACAAGATATTTTACGGTTTATGTAAAATTAAGAAATGATTTGAAGCCTCATAACTCGATAAATGCTTGAGGGAAAAATATTTTATTATAGTGTTTTGGAAAGCTCTCGAGGTCAGCTATAAGAATATACAATCAAAAATAGGGGTTCCCATTTTAAAAAAACACTTTGACCTTTAAATAACCTTGAAGGTCAAGCTCAAGGTCAAACTCAAGGTCACGAGATAAAAGCTCGGAGTAAGCTCTACAACTTTTGTCCGAAAAGTTTCTTTATCCGACCCTTACTTTTCGAGTTATTCCCCCGTACCGGGACTTTTTGAACACCCTGTATATCGATTAAGGAGTACATAATTAATTAGCAGGTTAAATAACCGTGTATAATAGGAACGGTAAGCAAGTGTTATAATCAATATTTTGAATGTTAAAATTCTTATATGCGTATATTAAGGTTAAAATTAACGATAATAGAGAATAAAATTGGATTATAGGTAATAAAATCGAATATTCGTCTTTATCCTATGGTTATACTAAAGAAACAAGATGGGTAAGTGAATAATAACTAGAGCACTAAATATACAGATATTCTATACTCCGCCATTTTTAATCCATTCCCCCTCCTTGTTTCTCGTGTCACTCGCCTCGTCGCTAAGCTGAGATTATAGTAGATAGGTTAGTGAGATTATATGGGGTGGGGGGATGGATTAAAAATGGCGGAGTATAGAATACTCATATATTTAGTGCCTTATAATAATTAAACCTAATAATTTTTAAAATGGCGGGATGTCACACATTGTAGCAATATTGATGCAAGCTTCTGTGCTGTATATGGATAACGATCATTTTTATTTTCTATTTTACAGCCAAAGACTGATCTGACAAACATTTTAATTAATCTTACAATCATCTATAAACAAGTAAACGATTACAAAAAAATAGAAATTTGGAAAGGTCCAAATGAGTTTCTGAAGTCTGCAATCAGCGGACTCAACATTTGGAAAATATTACTAGACTTTCGGATGTAATTCGACACTGATTGGATCTAAAAGTAAAAACCAATGATGTTCGATTGTTATGTTTAGTGATTTAGTCCGCTGAATGCGGTCATTTTTGTGCTTTGTCTTCTTTGCTTGTCAAGATCATCTGCAGCTTATTTTAATTTTAATTAACACTAACTGACATATAAGCGAATCCTTCTAAAAGCCTAATATAGAATAATATAGAAGCTATAATATAGAAGAAGTTATAATATAGAAGAAGAAGAAGAGCATAAATGTCTTAAAATTACAAGTCAGCCATTTTGCTAAATTTTTACAATGCGATGATGAAAATACATAACCTATTTTAAAAAATATCTACAACTTTAAAATGGACAAATATAAATTTTAAGAAAAATTTTTATTTATCATAACATTTGTTCTTTTAACACAATCTTTTTTTTTGACGTATTTCCAAATTTTAAAATATAACGGAAATAGATTTAAATGTTCAAATTAAATATGAGAGGATTTAATAGGATATCCTATTTAAGCATCTATATCTGCATCAATGCATAGATTATAATGATCTATAAATACGATAATAAATTTGCAAGTAAATATATTATAACAATAATAAAGCCTCTAAAAATATTTAATGATTGTTTTTATGTAGTAACATAAATTGCAAACAACTCAATTATTGATTACATTGTATCATACTTATGATTTCATTGAAACAATTGAACAATTAATATTATATAATCTGAAAGCAATCAAATGAGGACATTGATAAAAGTATTTAAAAAATATGATTATAGGTAGTGGTTTATATAATTTTTTCTCCCTCTCATTTCTAATATTTTATAAAGAACATTAATATACAATATAGAAACATATTTTTAAATTATGTATATCATAATTACTCCTTTATATTAATTTTATTATTAGCATTATTTATTAGTAGCTGATATATATCTCATCTTTATATTTATTTTTTATTATATTTTTCATATTATATAGGGTGATTCATTTTAATCTTAACAGGCAAATATTTTGAAAAATATGCAAGATACTAAAAAATGTTTCAGACAAAAGTTATATGGTTTTAAAGGAGATAAGATGGTGTCATTAATTTGACCTTAAATAGTTACTTGAAGGTCACTCAATTTTTTAAATGGAACCGCCTATTTTTTATTACATATTCTTGTAGCTTATCTCGAAAGCTTTCCAAAACATTATAATTAAGTTAGTTTTCATTAAGTACTTTCCGAGTTACGAGACTTGAAATAATTTCTTAATTTTACATAAACCATAAAATATCTTGTAAAATATTCATTTTTCGATTATCTTACCTTAATACTTTTCTGTACAAAATAGTGAGAGGAATCAATTGTAAAGAAAACATATAGTTAATTTTAAGAGAAAATATATAATTAATTGCAAATTACATTTCTTTTTTCGAAATAACTATGTGTTTTCTTTACATCAATTCCTCATTATTTTCTACGTAAAAGTATTAAGGTAAGATAATCGAAAATTGAATATTTTACGGTTTGTGTAAAATTAAAAAACGATTTCAAGCCTCATAACTCGGAAATTATTTAATGAAAACTAACTTAATTATAGTGTTTTGGAAAGCTCTCGAGATAAGCTACAAGAATATATAATAAAAAATAGGCGATCCCTTTTAAAAAATTGATGATGACCTTCATGTAACCTTCAAGTAACTATTTAAGGTCAAATTAATGACACCATCTTATATTTCCTTTAAAATCATATAACTTTTGTCTGAAATATTTTTTCGTATCTCGCATATTTTTCAAAATATTTGCCTGTTAAAATTAAAATGAATCACCCTGTACATATTCTCTCTTTTGCAAGGATTATATACACACTATATAAATATATATATATATATATATATATATATATATATATATATGATGTGTATATAATCCTTGTAAGAGAGAGAATATATATAATATGAAAAATATAATAAAAAATAAATAGAATATATAAAAACATATATAAATATGTATGTGTGTGTGTGTGTGTGTGTGTGTATGGTGTATATTACATATATACATCATCTATATCAAATGTGTATTTAAAATTAATATATTTTTATTCTTCAAATTCATTTTAATAAAATCTTATAATACACCTATGCAAGAATTACATCAATCTTCTTTCTTAACAATTATTTTAGTCATCTAGAATGATAAAGTTAGCAAAAAATGATAAATTTGAATATCGTCAAAAAAATAAATAAAATGAACATCTATCTAAAATTAAAAGTTGAAAATAAAAAAAGGTAAAATTACAACAAGTAATAAATTATGTACTTTTTTCAAATAAAAAGTATTTAATACAAAATTAATTACAGATATTAGTATTTCTTGCATTGGCTACAAGATAACCTTTAAGATACAAATGTATCATATATTTATCATTCTTACAGCAATATTTTTACGATTAAGAAAAATTGCAGCCAAATATGAACTTAACAATTAAATTTATAACTTTAAATAAATAATTTTCTTATCAAGAAAGTACGAAATATTTACAAAATCACATCAATGTTTTATTTATATGAATTTTTCGCTCGCCAATCAAGAAACTCCTCAAACTCTGTTTCATCACTGCTTAAATCATCATCATCAATATTTTCCTGCTTTCTATCAGTACTTTGCACTTGCTCCATATGTTTTGCAAGATCTATTACCCTTTAATAAGAAAATTAACTTGCAATATATACATTTTTAAATTATTTACTTTCTCAGATATAAATATTGGAAAAATACCTAGACCAATGTCTAATTTGCTCCTCAATTTCATCCATTTGTCTTTCTGTTGTTGCTTCTTCTTGATCATCAGCAATAATTTGTGCAGATTGCGCAGTCTCTTCTTTAATTTCTTTTTGAAATTTTTCCCACTCTTCTTCAATGGGATCTTTATATTCAACATTACGTACCTAGAAACAAAAAAAGATAGTTAAATAAAGAAATAGAAATATAGTAATTGAAGAAAAATAAGATAGAATAAAGAAAAATAAGATAAAATGAAGAAAAATATTGAGTATACTATTGCATCTTTTAATGAGATAACATGCTTAGTATCTATATAATTAATTGTTTTAAGTCTTATCTCTTTTACTTTACTTTTATTATCATATTAAATATTAAAAATATTCTATATATTTTTATTTATAAATTGGTAAATAATACGGCTCTATGTATTTAACAACATGATAATTAAGAAATGAGCATTAAGAGCCTACAAAACGCGGATGGCAATGCGTAAATTATTTCGAACATTAATTGTTCGCGAAAAATTTTTTAAAGACATATACACATATGCCAAGTTATAGATTCTCTTAGTTTGAGACTTCTATAACACCCCCTTTACCCCCCTGGAGAGATGTTTCCTGTCTACATCTCTCCAGGGGGTAAAGGGGGTGTTATAGAAGTCTCAAACCAAGAGAATCTATAACTTGGCATATGTGTATGTCTTTAAAATTTTTCGCGAACAATTAATGTTCGAAATAATTTACGCATTGCCATCCGCGTTTTGTAGGCTCTTAGTGCTCGTTTCTTAATTATCATATTTTTATTTATATTAATATAAATGTTATCTTATTAATAACTTTTGGTAGTGTATTATATTTATTTTTGGTAATGTGTTATATTTACTTTATGTTAATCTTACTTTAGCATCCATTATTGGATCGTCAAAAAATCCTTCTGGAAGAACAGTTAGATTTGTATCCTTTATTTTTTCTTCTTCTGCTTCCAAATGTATATCCGCAACATTAACTGTAGGCTCTTTGCTCTCTAATTTTTGCAAAGATATACTATTCACTTGTTTCAAATTATTATGAAAAAAATCTGTTGGCAAGATTGATTTTGATTGTATTTCTTTTGAGTTAGAATTTTTCAATATTGTTTTTATCTTTTTATTAACAACAATATCTTGTGACGGAGAAAAAGGTCTTTTGAATGATAAAACATTAGATGTTCTTGTAGTGCTTTCTGTTTCTAGTTTGGTTGTTTTTGCTAATGTTATATTTTCCTTATGTATTTTGGAATTTAAATGAACAGGCCAAACTGTTTCGTTGCGTACAATTGATTTGCATAAGATGCACATAAGTTGACCTGAATCTGTATATGTGTTGATCAGTTAAGAATATTTCCAAAGTCAATTAGATATAAGAATTAAATTATATTAACTATTTAATAAATTACATTAATATATTAATTATAAAATGCATATTACAATCATAACTCATGAAATTTATATATATTAATTTCTTTTGCTTTTATAATTAGTGAACTTAATTTTAACGATTGTTCATATTTCAATGTACTAAAAGCTGTTGTTTACTGCTCATAGTAAAATTTTGTTCATAGCGAAATTCCTAATTATTAAAATTAAATAGAAATATCATAATATACATCTAATAAGAACGTATAATGTGATTGTTTTGAAGATTTAAAAAAATTCCTAAAATAAGTTTCTTAAATTTTTAAGATTATAAAAAGGATATTTTGCTAATGGCGAATCGATCTTTTTAATTATGCCAAATTTCTTCTTCTGTTCATTCATAGCCTTACGCAAATCATTCTGCGTCAATTTTCTTCCCAATGACATTTTCACTCGATTATATCACACTGCATGTAACAAAATATATATTTTTTTATAATAGCTTAACATGCCGTCAATCGATTTTATCTTTTATAGTTTATTAATACAACCACAAACTTCTATAATACACTAGACCGCTAACATCTGTATAAAATAACTCGAAAAAGTGATGCGAGGTGCGAACATAGACATATATAATGTAGACCCAGCGTGAGTGGAGTTGTCCGCGTCTTCTAAAGGACAGAACGATATGAAGTAGGATGGCACCCGATTGACCACGTTGCCAATTGGCCAATTCAAAATAGGACTCTCTGATTGGTTAATCGTTGCTGGTTACCCTAGGCACAGGTCGATATAATTGGCTGTGGTCAATCGCAACGTGGTCAAACGGGACGCTCCCTATGAAGTAAGGTGCTGTCTCCGTCACTCCGCCGGTCTGGAGGGGGAACTTAGAGGATGGCTCACAGCATACGACTAGGCAAACGATAGGCCGGTATTCATAGTCCGATCTTATATTTGAGATCGTTTAAGTTCGAGCTTGAAATGCTACGCAGCTATTTGATTGGTTGAAGGAGGTCTTAAGTCAACCTCGGACCAGACTTAAGACGATCTTAAATATAAGATCGGACTATGAATACCGGTCACGCTGAATGCATGAACAAAAGCATTGAAATTCCAATATTGAACTTTACTGGTTCCGGCATAAGTTAACAGTTACGGCCTCTATGGCCGGTATTCATAGTCCGATCTTATATTTAAGATCGTCTTAAATCTGGTCCGAGGTTGACTTAAGGCCGGTATTCATAGTCCGATCTTATATTTAAGATCGTCTTAAGTCTGCTTGGAGGTTGACTTAAGACCTCATTCATCCAATCATATAGCTGCGTAGCATTTTAAGCTCGAACTTAAGACGATCTCAAATATAAGATCGGACTATGAATACCGGCCTAAGACTTCCTTCAACCAATCAAATAGCTGCATAGCATTTCAAGCTCGAACTTAAGACGATCTCAAATATAAGATCGGACTATGAATACCGGCCTATAAACCAGCCTTTACGCCTTACAACCTTATGCTACGGCCATTGTAGAATGGCCTTAACGCGTCGTCGCGTCTTGTGTGCAGGAGCGATATCTCATTCGTGAATAACATGGAAGATCGTTCGCCTTTATAGTATTTTATCAATGCTAGAAGATTATATGATTGATATCTGCGTAAATATTTGTTACTGATATAATCTTGATATTTGATTTCTTAATTATAATATTAATATTTTTTTTATTTAACAAATGCTGTAAAGTGATATTTGCTTAAAAGTAATCAGAATAAAAGTATGTATAAATTCAAATTATATCTAAAGAAAATGTATATGTAATGTGTATGTATGTATATATAATATTATATTAAAATTATACGCCCAATACTTTTTTTTAATTACGTATGTTTATAATTAGTATGTTTATAAATCCACAATTTTCAGCAATTTTACAATTCTGTTATTAATTATTATACATCTATTATTAAATCTATTATTAATTCTATTATTAAATCATTATGCAATCATTCAAATTGCTAATGTTTTTTAAAACTTAAATTTAAAAAATTTTTTTAGATATAAAACAATATGTCAGTGATATATCCAAAATTGGCAGTGCGAGATAGCATTGATGATGATGATCTCACTGATATTGATGATGAGGTATTTATTAGAGATGGAAGAAACAGTGGATTAAAATTAGACGATGATGGTAGTGTCAAGCGGCCTCTTATGCCACCTCGTAGAAAGTACAAGAGTACATCTTGTAACTTTCAAACTCATAGATTTCCATATAAAGCACTTTTCGTGCCACTGTGTTATGGAATTACAGCATTAATTGTCGTATTAGGTTTAATCATCCTTTGTATATTCACTGCGAATATATTCCCAATGCCATTAACTATACTGAAAAATTGGTTGACACATGAACTAAAAGAAATCTCTGTAAATAAATCAGAGATAATTCCATGTACATCACTCTCATCTAAAATTTTATGGACTAAATCATTGCCAAAGTTAACTTCTGAAGCACCGCTTAGAAGTAACGATGTTAACTTTGATGGGATTGAAGATATTATTGTGGGATTTAGTACAGGTATATCCTTCAAAATATTAATTTCTCAATCGATCAAAATGTTAATTTTTATTTTATATAAATAAATGTTGCTATATTGATTATATCATTTTAATTCTTTTTTTAATTAATTTGAAATTAATTTTCCACCATTATATATATAAATATATATTAAATTGCATTGTAATTTGTAATTTGCTATTTTTATTTCGTTTATTTTTTTTTTACAGATTTTGATTTCACAGTTTCATGATTGTTGCAACGCCTAAGGTGAATAATTAACATTATTTTATGTTGACATCAATAGTTTAATTAGATTTATAATGCCATAACTATTAACTTATTTATAAATTTAGGTCTGGATACAATGAATGCTCCAGAATATATCTGTACTGTGTATTTTGGGAATCAAACACCATGTCTGGGTGGTGTATTGGCGTTAAATGGTAAAACAGGAGAAACTATTTGGACACATTGGACTGCCCATGCCATATTTTCCATTGATTGCGGTGTGGACTTAACAAACGACAAAATTAAAGATTGTGTTATATCTGGGCGCGGTGGAATTCTGCAAGCCATTAGCGGTCGCGATGGTTCTAATATATGGGAAATACCGATTGAAGAGACGGTAGCATCTGCACAACAACAAAAAATTGACGTCTATGATGCTAGATTTATAACGGATATGAATGGCGATAGTATTGGCGACGTAATAGCATCACATGCTATGCAATCGAATGACATCCGAGCAAGTAATATACTTGTGATATCAGGAAGAAATGGAAATATTATACGCAACATCAATTTACCAGATACAGAACAGTTGTTTATAGCACCGCAAATTATAGTACAGTCTGATGGAGAAAATATATTTGTTCTAGCTACAAATAGTCAGCAAGAGGCTGGAGGATTATACATAGTATCTCAAGCTAATATATTTTATGGTAATTTGGTATGTAATGAAATAGAATAAAACCTGTATCAAGTCGTTAAAAAATAATTGAATTAATTTATAATCATTTTTGTTACAGCAATTACGAAAACTTAATCATAATACAGGAAAAGGTGCACTCTTACCACCTGTTTTAATAGATATTACATCAGATGGAATTGAAGATATTGTCGCAGCTATGTTTAATTCTACAATTATGGCATACAATGGATCAACATTTGAACCTATCTGGAATTACACAATCCCTAATTCTGAAGTAATTAGCATTCCTATTCCTGGTTATTACAATGACGACGATATACCAGATTTCATGATAAAACATCAGATAGGTGCTGGTTTCCCTACATATTATTATACTATGGCTACAATCATAGACGGGCGTAATGGACAACCCTTACTCGAAAAACCAATAGAAGATAGTTTGAGTAAGCAAATGTCCGGATTATCGATCACTGTTGACGGATTTGGTAATGATTGGTTTCTGCATTGGTCTGCCGACTGTTTAAATCATGAGGGAATTAAAGAAAAATATCAGTTTTTGAAAGGTCAAAGTCTCGTATCACAAACGCATGCTGATCTCTGCCGGTTAAGATTTAATTCTACACTTACCATGAAGTTACTGGCATTGAGTCAACACGTTGGCCCACCCGGAATATCATTGTATTTCTCAGAGAAATGGAAATCACTGGAATTCAATAATTCGATTGATCCACGAGAAGAAGCGGAGAAATATCTGGATGCCCATCATCGATTCGAAATCATGGATACTTATGCAGACATACCATTGGTTTCTGAAAGATCACCAAAGAATCATAAAAATCTTCAGAAAGAAAGTATTTTCAAGCATAAAGATAATCTACTTACAGAGATCGACAAATATGATTCAGATATAGTGTACGGTGAAAATTTTGATGAATTCAATAATCACAAGAAACATAGTTTTGTTGAAGATGATGTCATAGAAAATTTAGACGTTGATCGAGCATGGGAGCAAAATAATAAATGGACAAAAAATAATGTACAATCGAATAAAGAGTACAATGGTCTATACAGAAATGATAACAACAACAATGAAAATGGGGAACAAAATATAGATTATCTACAAGCTGAAGTGCGAGAGCAAAGGAGTGCTGAAATTAAAGATACATTTATAAATATTTCTTATGGAAAACATCTTATGAAGAATTCTAAAAAAATTAACAATAATTTAATACCTTTTGAATTAATACAACGTAATTCGCGATTGAAAAACGAGAATGTTAATATAAAAAAGAAAATAGGAACGGGAAAAATTAATGATAAAGGAAATGATTCCATGAGCAAAACTGATGTAATGAATATTACCGGCAAATTTTTCAACTCTATATCACTGACAAATATGTCGACTATAAAATCTGAAAAAAAAATATTAACGATGTTAAGTGATAGGTCAAATATCATAAAACCTATTGCAATGCAGAGTGCATTAAATACATCAATTAGAAACAAATCAAACAGAGTAAATGATACAAATTTCGATTTTAAAATGCCGAAAATCACACATACTGAAACATCAAATGCTACAAAAAACCAAGTAATCATTAGTCATAAAGCTATAATTTCCAAAGTAGATAAGACACAGGAAAAGCAGATTTACAAGCATAGCTTTTCAAATATTGTCCAAGATGTGGATGATGATATTAGTATAGAAAAAGTATTTAAACGGGAATCATTGAAAAATAAAAATAAAGGAAAAATTAACAAAAAGCAATTTCTGATATCACAGGATAAAAATGATAAAATACAACAGAGACGAAGAATGAAACGAAAATCTGAAACTAATGACAATCGATCAAACGATATTAATGGTATTCGAAGACAACCACCAACTGGTATTTTATTACCATCTATCGCTGAATCCAAAAGAAAAACTTCGATAGATCTAGTCTTTTCTACATTCTGGCTGCCATCGTCCGAGGTATCTCTAATCTTGTCACAAGTAGATCTGGAATGCATTCATAGAAAAAAAGCATTATCAGAGAATAAACTCCTGTATAAAAAAGATGATGATATTATCAGCGAATGTTTATCTGAGCGAGGCATTAATTATAAACTATATCAAGAATCAGTAGATAGAGAAAATACTAAAATTGCACTTGGTCAAATGACAATATACCGAATAAAGCTGGAATGTGTATGCCCAGAAGATATGTTACCTAATCAAACTTGTAAGAATATTTCATTACATCAAAGTTGGCCCGAACATTTAGGGTCTTCTGGAAATGGATATTTTAAGCCATTACAAAAATTAAATAATTGAAGAAATTTCAAAATCTTTTATTAAACATTAAACTATGTACATGAATTATCGAAAACATGTTTTCATTAACGTTTTAATAAAATCACTGATAATTGAAGAGATGTTGTGCACTATTATGAAATTCTATTGTATTAATAATTTATATGTAAATAATTATGATATATAAATTAAAAAATTTATTAATCATAATTTATATAATTATATAATCCAAGGTGTAAATTAATTATGTATTAGCAGATTACGAGTAATTTATAAATAATAAAAAATTTCTTCTTTAATTACCCAATTTATATGAATATTTATGTATATCCTTGTTAATTTATGAAACAAAAAATTAATTTTCTTAATACATAAAGTTCTTATATATGTGAGTCAAAGTAAAGACAGGCCGCATTCGGACTCACCGCTGAGTAGCAATCGAATATGATTGGTTTCTATTTTCAGGTCCAATCAGCGTCGAGTTACATCAGAAAATCTAGGAATGTTGCCCAACTGTTGAGTCTGCTGAATACGGCTATAGATGTGTAAAGGAGGCAGGTGAGGCACGTTGGTGTCACTCGATTGACCACGTCACCAATTGGCCAATTCAAAATAGGACTTTCTGATTGGTCAATTTGGTTATCCTAGGCACAGGTCGATATAATTGGTTATGGTCAATCGCAACGTGGTCAAACGGAAGACTCCCAGGCATGTCTATACGCTCATTTGGTCAACAAACAGCAGATCCTATCCGTGGCAACGGCATCGACGCGTATGAAGAGAGCATTCATATATTTTTTAGCCCAACAAATAATTGCTCGAAAACAATATTTATGACTAAAAAATATGTGAAGTTGAATCGGGAATCGAACCCGAGTCTTGCTTTTGAGCAACTGCAATTGGTCCACAATCTTGCTTTAACTGGTGTCGTAAGAAACTAACCAATCGTATTTAATTACTCTTTTCACATTCAACTGTGGTTGGTTAATTTCTTACTAAGTGACTCCGTCACTTAAAACAAGGGCCGCATTCTGACATTGCTGCCAGTTTACTGCCAGCACTGAAAATATATAATATACGTTACGTGCACTATAGAATTTGCAGTACTGGCAGTAATTTCGGAACACGGCCAATGCGTTCGAAAATATGTTTGTAGTGCGTTCGAAAATATGTTTGGTCGGTGTTGGGAAAAAAGTTAAAGTTGGCAGTATTGAAAACAGTGCTGCGTTTCGTTTCTGCCACTGGGATCATTAGGATTGTATTGTATCGCATGTACCATAGACATATAGAATAGACCGGCCCCTACCGTAGGAGGCAGTCTTGAAAGATCTAAAGGATAGAGATGATTCCGGGTATCTATGTCCTTCTCTTTTATCTCGTGGGGACACTGTAAGAGTTGAAGGGAAAGCAGTGTGCTCGCTTCGTTTTCACTCATCCCATCAATGTCCCCACCACGAGACAAAAGAGAAGGATAGAGATACCCGGAATCATCTCTCTATCCTTTAGATCTTTTAAGACTGCCTCCTACGGTAGGGGCCGATTTATTCTATTAGTGCGTTCGAAAATATGTTTGGTCGGTGTTGGGAAAAAAGATAAAGTTGGCAGTATTGAAAACTCCCAGTGCTGCGTTTCGTTTCTCCCACTGGGATCATTAGAATTGTATTGTACCGCATGTACACTGTGCGACAACGATTCGTTCCGTGACCCCTCTCTCGCGGAGCAAGGGGAGCGTAGAAGTGACCAATTAGCTGGCAGCGTGGCAATGGCTGATTGGTTAGAAGCTACGCTCCCCTTGCCTCGCGAGAGGGACCATGGAACGAATCGTTGTCGCGCAGTGTACAATATATGAAAGTGTTGCAATTACATTAATTATTATTATGGAACAATATATTTTACTCGAAAGCATCATTTTTGAATCTTCGAGTAGTTCTTCTTCAAATAGTGAGATGATAATAATGAAGAATTACAAAATATTTTATTCGAAAATAGAGGTAATAACAATAGAGGTGAAAGGAAAATAATACCAAAAATAACAGATTATTTGGAAAATGTTGTTACCAGATATACAAATATTGAATTTAAATCACATTTTAAGTAAATCATGTCACTTTATTATAATTATAGCATTATTAATATAAAACACACGTTCATATTAATAATAATATATGTGATGTTATTTGTTACAGGATGTGTAATACTTTTTATTATCTGGTGTTGCCAAAACATAAATATCTATTAATAGCTGTTTTGTTGGATTAATTTGTTCTCTTCCTATGAATAGAAAATTTTCTAATTTGGGTCCAATTAAATGTAATAAAAAATAAAAAGTATTACGCTCCATCCTGTAACAAATAACATCACATATATTATTATTAATACGAACGTGTGTTTTATATTAATAATGCTTTAATTATAATAAAGTGACATGATTGACTTAAAATGTGATTTAAATTCAATATTTGTATATCTGGTAACAACATTTTCCAAATAATCTGTTATTTTTGGTATTATTTTCCTTTCACTCTATTGTTATTACCTTTATTTTTGAATAAAATATTTTGTAATTCTTCATTATTATCATCACTATCTGAAGAAGAACTACTCGAAAATTCAAAAATAATGTTTTCGAATAAAATATATTGTTCCATAATAATAATTAATGTAATTGCAACACTTTCATATATTGTACATGCGGTACAATACAATTCTAATGATCCCAGTGGAAGAAACGAAACGCAGCACTGGGAGTTTTCAATAAGTTGCCAACTTTATCTTTTTTCCTAACACCGACCAAACATATTTTCGAACGCACTACAAGATTGTGGACCAGGGTAAACCACTATCCAGATCTCAACCTAGTGTCGCTACCCATACAGCACAAAAAGGCCAAAAGACGTCTTAAAGACGTCTAAAGGACTTTAAGATGTCTTTAAGTAGTCTTTTAGATGTCTTTTGGACATGTGTGCTGTCTGGGTATTTAATACAGTGATATGCGACTCCAGCGATGTTAAAATCTCGTTCGATGGATACAATGTCGATTGCTAGTAGAACCTCTAAATGGCCACTGACTAAATAAGTTCATTAAAAATTTATTAATTATGTTTATAATATTCATTAATATTAATTATTTATATCATTTATCATTTTGTTATTCAAAGAAATAAAAATTTGATATTATTCATTATTCATCATTTTTTTTATTTTTTTTTCCTATATATATTTTTCTTTATCGCAAAGTTATTTTAATTTGCTGCTATGGCATTGTTTGATCAATATTAGGATGTTAAATAGTTACTTGTGATGTGTTACTTGAATAGTTATTTCATTCTTGTGATTTTTATAATAATAAAATAAGCATAAAACATTACATATTACATTAAACATTACATTATTTATGATTACATAATTATGGAATATAACTAAATACTACAAATTAAGGCAGATAAAAATGTGAAACGTAAGGTACCCAGTAAGCAAAATGTTAGCAGTCTGCCAGCAGCATGCGAGCTGATTCAAACAGAATATTGCGACAGATTGGCATCAACTGCATCAGCATTAAGCTTGGGTTCTGCTAGCAGAATCAGTCAGCATAAACCGACAGCAGATTGACAGCAGAAATCGAGCAGGATCTGCGCGTGCAATTTGATGTTAGATTGTCAGCAGAAACCGAGCAGAATCTGCACATGCATTTGCGATGGCAAATTGACAGCAGAAACTTCACAAGATTTGCGCTTATTTTTATTAATGTTATATAAATGCAACAAAATTGATTATTACAGGTGCTAAATAACAATATTATCGGCAAGTTAATTAGAATTTTATTAGAAAATGACATATATGTAATATGTTATATCATAGTTATATCTCTTATAGCGAAGGACTAATTCAATTTAATTAAATTAATAATAAAGTAAATGATGAAATGTAACTTGTAAAATTTGAATGTAATTTATTTAGAATTAAATTCTTGCTTTATGCCTCAAATAGGTACATGAATAATTTTCAATTTATCATATTGATTCCAATTAGTTTAATATTCTGACTCTCATTTGCTTGTATCAGATATCAGAAATTAAAGTGATAGAAATTAAAATGATAATTACTATATTTTTAGTCTTTTATTCATATTCGCGACTTTATATATATTTCTGACAGAAATTCAATTACGAGAAAGTACAGCTCACATAGCGGTAAGTGAAGGAATTATCGAATCATGTAAACCCTGTTCCGTTTCTGCCATCAATCTGCTATCAGGGATTGTGTGCGCAGATCCTGCTCGATTTCTGCCGACAATCTGTTGTCAAATTGCGTCGCATAGATCCTGTTCAATTTCTGCCATCAATCTGCGCTAATTTTAAACAAATCTTGTTCAGTTTCTGCTATCAAATTATGTCAGCAGATTTTGTAACATTTCTGCTGACATTCTGTTATCATTATTTGATATAACAAATTTTTTATACAATCTGCTATCATACTGTCGACAAAAATTTGTAGCAGAAATTGACAAAATCTGTTTGAACAGACTTTGCTGACTGGGTACATATATCACATATAAATTTAATGGTTAATAAAAAAAATAAGTCTTTTTTCTAATGCATTAGCGGATACTTACATCATATGTGATAGCAATTATTACAGCAATTGTTATCAAATGCTCAGAAGAATGCTCGATTGGGGTGTGAATATTTCTTAAAAACTATAATTATATTTCTTAAAATTAATATTTCTAAAAATATATATTTTTAATATAAAATTCGAATAAATCTATATATAAGTTAGATAATTATTTTTTTAAATCTTGGGTAAGTCTTTAATTGTTTCTTCCTTTTATAAATAATTCTTTATTAAAAGAAAAGTTTTATGCAGGATGTTCTGCAACATAGGGGACAAAATTTAAGATGATTCTTCATGGTAATATAAGATGAAAATCAAAAGTAAGATAATTTCGATTGAGGCTTCTTTTTTTAGTTATAAATGTTTGAAGTTTTAGTTATAAATGTTTGAAAATTCATATAAAAGGCATCTCAAGTACGGCGATCCGCTGATCTCGAGCATACGTTAATTACATCGGTAAAGTCAAAATACATCGTGACATATAAGTATGAAAGTTTATCTCGTAGTAGCTGATGTAAAATCTGATATTCGGCACGGCAATATTTTATTCTACACAAGCTTATCACGCCGAATATCGCTATTACGAGATAAGCTTCTGTGTCACGGTATATTTTGACTCTGCCAATAAAAATGCATCAAACTAATGCAAGCCCGAGATCGGAATATCGCTGTGCTTAAGGCGCCTTTTATGCGAATTTTCAAACATTTATAGCTAAAAAAGGAAACTTTCATCGAAATTTTCTTGTTCTTGATTTTCGTCTTATTTTATCATGAAATCATCTCTTAAATTTTGTTCCACTGTTGTAGAACACCTTGTATATTTAAAATATTATTTTCTACAAAGACATACATATATTTCTCTTCAACTTTCAAATTTATAGAAAAATGGCTGTACAAAGTGAAACAACTAAAATCACAAATGAAGAAGATATGTATAAGCATTTTCGGAAACTGGTATTACCGAAGATACAGATCATAAACATTCCGCATTATTTTGAGCACAGAAGTTTAAGCGGAATTTTACAAAATGGACAAAAACGATATTGTGATACGTTACTTAAATCAAAGCCGTGCAAAAATACCAAAACGCAAACGAATTATAGAGAAACTGAAACACAAACGGAACCTTGGGAGCCACCATATAAAATTATTCCAGGTAAAACAATATCCAATAAACATTGTTATATTAATGCCATAAAAGCAATAAGATGGAATATTATAATATCCATATAAGTATTACGATTAAAGTGACATGTTGCTCTTTTCATACAGTACAGAAACTTGCAGTAACATTGCTGCAACGTTGCACATTGCACAGTGTAATGTTGCAGAAATATTGCAAAGACATTATTTTACAATATTATTTTAACCATGTTGCAGCAATATTTTTAAAATATTATTAAAATAAAAATATATAATATCCAGGTAACAAGTATACATCATTTTAACGTTTCAAATTAGTCATTCATTGACTATTCTTGACGAGCTAACGTTTTTATGACGTAAAAGTGACGGTCTAATGGCTGAGTTTCAATATTTACTATCAGTACTGAAAATCTATAGTTTACGTGACGTACTGACTATAGATTTTCAGTACTGGCAGCGAATATTGAAACAGAGCCAAGGTCATAGATTCTTGTTGTCATGACCCATACAGCACACAAAGATTGCATACACATTGCAGTAATCTTTCACCGCAATATTGCAACGTTGCAAATTCACTGCAAAATGTTGCTGCACCATTGTTGTGGGATTGCAGCAACGTTAAAATGTCCGCTTTAGGAATATTGCAATGTAAGATTGTAGCAATGTTATGGTGCAACGTATTTGTAATATTAAAACGCGTTTTGCTACAAATGCAGACACCGTTTTAAATTTAATAAATAAACTTTGAAAATATAAAAAGATGTTTAAGAAAGATAGGAAAAAATGCCTTTAAAAAAATCTATTAGTGTTTTTTATTAGATGTTTCTTATATATTTATCTCAACATATACATACAATTATTTTACATACATTCGACACCAGAATATTTTAATACGTGCAATAAATGAACTATTTCCTATTTACGCATTCAATTGAGAAAAATCTGTTTAATATTCTGAAACCCAATGAGAGATCCAAGTTATTAAACAAATTATTTGTTTAATAATCTAGATCCCTCATTAGGATTCAGAATATTAAATAAACCAAGTCAGTTTATCAGAAATTAAACTGACACAAGACAAGAAATATAATTACTACATTAGTCCTTTGTAGATCTTATGTCCACTTTAGATGAATTTGAATACGAATTAGTTAAATTTGGTGTCGTCGCGTATAGTAGCAAGTAAAGAAACACATGTTATACATTTTCGCTATGTTAAAACGTTGCTACAACATTGCCAAAGTAATATTACAAAATAATGTCTGTGCATTATTTCTGCAATATTACACTGCAGTGAACAATTTTGTAACATTGCAGCAATGTTGATGCAAGCTTCTGTGCTGTATGGGGACATGTACCGCATTTTGACGTCATAAAATGTACCATATTTTGATGTCTTTTTTTCTTATCATAATAATGTATTTAACAGCGTTATTGAATAAAGTAGATTAACCGATTCGAGAGCATCATTGAACAATTACAGCCATTCTATTCTTCAGAGGAATCTCGGATCGATTAAACTGCTTTATTTGAAAACGTTGGAAAACACAAATATAAGAAAATAGGTCACAAGTTTTATATTTAATAACACGATAAGAAAACTAGCATCTACGAGCCACAGCGGATGCCTAAAAATTCTTTTAATTGTACGCAAAATTTAAACGAGAACAAGGCATATGCATATATTTTACTTGGTGCATTTTACCAAGATATAGATTCTCATTTTTGAGAAATTCTATAAAACCCTCTTTACCCCCCTAAAGATATGTAGACGAGAAAAATATCGGGGCGAAGTCGCTGAATCGGGAATCGAACCCGATTTTGTTCGAATTGTTATTATTATTTTATTTAAACATAAATAAACTTCTAATGTCATATGAAATTTCAACAAATAATGTCTTTCGTTGCCTGCGTTTTATAAAAATATATTGTATCAATCAACTATATTATAAAAAATATGTATATTTTTTGGCACTTTAATTACACTCGATTGATATAGCTAATATTTTCACTATGCATTAATTTAAACACTTGAATTAAGCAACATGAGTCGTGCACAAATAAATTGCATGTGTTGAAAGAAAAATTATTAAAGTCTGATCGCAAAAGTTGTTATATAAAAAATTTTAAAAGATTTTTTTATGGGATCGATATCCTAACTAATCACATTAATAATAAAAAAATCGTCAGTTCATGACTGAAATATGACGTCAAAATAATGTTATATCAAAACGGCAATATAAAGTAACAAATCAATCATGTAATAAATCAATCATTTTGATAATATATACCAAAAATGACCAGTTTGGAACGTCAAAATGACGTATGCTTGCTACCTGGGTAATCGAGTGCCACTCGTCACGGGAGGGTCCCGTTTGCCCACGAACCCAATTGTCCACTGCCAATCGACTTGTGTGGGTAATCAGCAACGATTAACCAATCAGAGAGGCCTATTTTGAATTGGCCAATTGAGGCTATCGGATCCCGTGGGCTATCGGATCCTGTTCACTCATCACACTCTATAACATATTTCGCTTTCCTTAACAATATTTTAAAATGTTGCTGAAACATTGCTAAAATAATATTGTAAAATAATTTACAATATCTTTATACAATATCTCTGCAATATTACATTACAATATGTAGTGTTGCAACATTGCAGCAATGTTGTCGCAAGCTTCTATGCTATATGAGTAGTTATATAACTTGCATTATATTATTTGTTACTTCCACGTTATATTATTGCAATAAATAATGTTTATTAGGTTGTATATAATTATAGGATAATAAAAAATTCATAACATTAAACAAAAATAACACGAAAAAAACAAAGAAAGGAGAACTTTTATTAAAAAATTGTTATAATTATAATAATATTTCTCTAATATTATTATAAATATTATTATCTGTAATTATTATATCTTTATTTCTCTAATTTTATTACAAATATTATTATAATTTCTAATAATTTTAATATAAATATTATTATAATGTTTGTTTAGATCAGAATCCTGAAATATTGACGTTGGGTCATTTAACTTGGAAGCATGGATTACCTGCGGGTGTCCATGAGATACACGTTATTAACAGGATGCAGATGAAGAAAGCTTGGGAAACTATTCTTCCACCGATGAATACACCGACCAACGTAAAATTGCGAAATTCGATAATAATAATGTTAGAAGTAGATGAATGGGCATTTCGTGAATCGGTGAGTATTTTAAACATGGATTGAAAAGTAATGCGTTAATATTACAATTATTTTTTTCAATAACTGCACGATTATTTTTTTCAAAAATGCTAATGACATATATTTCTATAACTAAAAAAGTCACTTCCTATTTTTTGGAAACGAATATATTCTTATAATTACTTTTGAAATCTATAATTAGTATGATCTTTATAAACATCTAAGCAGCATTAAAATAAAAAAAATTAATAGACAATTTTGTGATAAAATTTAACGGCTGTAACGATGCACCCCGAAATCCATCGTTTTCTGGCGAACACCGGCCGGAAACTGCCGCCCTATGACCATCGGCAGAGTGGTCAAGGTAGAGGCGCAATGCACTCATTTTTAATCGTTAGTGAACTAGGGACGGGTAAGGGCCTCCGCACAAGGTGTTCCGTATCGCATTACGTTACGTTAAGTATAGATTGTAAATTTAACTCCGTACGTAAACTTAAACTTCAGTCAACGCACAGAAAAAATCCTAACGTAAAGATATGTCTTAAATTTACGATCTATACTTAACGTAACGTAATGCGATACGGAATACCTTGTGCGGAGGCCTTAAGACAAAGACAGCGAGATTATTTAGGCTGCCGTCGAGAGTCGATTCCGGCAATTATGGTCCCGCGCTTGGCACCCTGAACTTACGCCCCCGGGCGGACCCGAACCACTCTGAATATTTTTATTGCCGCCCAGTAGGGGGTAATTACCGAATACGCCGGCGCGGGTGATTAACCGCGTATAAAACAGGACTCGACAGTACAACGAGACAGAGCCTACCGATCCTTTCAGATGAACTTAAGCTAGTCCGAAGGTAACCTGTATGAAATTGGCCCCTCATTTTTTAAATTTGAAAAAAATGAATAGAGTTCTGAATGCCCCCGGAAGAGTTCTAGAATTCTCAGTCAATTTTAGAAAGAGTTCTGTCATTTAAAGTAATGAAAACACCATTTGAAACACCGAGGGGGGGGGGGGCTAACTTCACGACGCCCCTCATTTTGCGAAAAATTCAATTTTCTTTAGAGTTCTGAGAATATTTCAAATAGTTCTATAGTTCTAGATGAGTTTCAAAAATAGTTCTGTTCAAAATACTGCAAAAATTAAATTTGAAAGTCCAGACACGGGAAATGAAAAATCGCGAGAACTCGTTCAATTTTGATTTTAATGCTTTGAGCCTTAATAATAATCGTTAGAACTCATGAGGGGCTACTCAGAACTCTCAACAAAACGTCGAATTTCTCAAAAAAAATTTTTTTCGATTTGATAAATAAAAAATTTTTTTCAACAGTTCGATGTTCTATTGAGAGTTCTGAGTAGCCCCTCACGAGTTCTAACGAATATCATTAAGTCTCGAAGCGCTAATACCAAAACTGAAAGAGTTCTCGCCACTTTTCGATTCTCGAGTCGAAAATTTCCAAGTCCCAGGCGTCGAAAATTTTTTTCCGGAAATCCGAAGTTCTGTTAGCAGTTCTGGGTAGCCCCTCACGAGTTCTAACGAATATCATTAAGACTCGAAGCGCTAAGACCAAAACTGAAAGAGTTCTCGCCACTTTTCGATTCTCGAGTCGAAAATTTCCAAGTCCCAGGCGTCGAAAATTTTTTTCCAGAAATCCGAAGTTCTGTTAGCAGTTCTGAATAGCCCTTCACGAGTTCTAAAGATTATTATTAAAGCTTGAAGCACTAAAACCAAAACTGAAAAAGTTTTCGCCGATTTTCGTTTCTGAGTGCAAAATACCCAAGTCTCCGAATGGAAACATTTATTTCGGAAATCCGATGTTTTATTCAGAGTTCTGAATAGCCCCTCACGAGTTCTAACGAATATTATTAAGACTCGAAGCGCTAAAACCAAAACTAAAAAAGTTCTCGCCGATTTTCGTTTCTCGAGTCGAAAATTTCTTAATTCCGACTGTTTTTTTTAAATTTATTAAAACCGACTGAAACAATCATAGGCGATCGGTATCGAACGCAATTGATGCAGCCACTTGCACGTCACATATTTTTCTAGTCCAATATAGTCCGAATATTGTTTTCTAGCAATTCGTTGGGCTGAAAAATGGGAATGTTCTTTTTACAGGATATGTGTCAATGCCGTTATCATGGATAGATTCTAGCCGCTCGTTGATCAAATGGGCATATAGACACGTCTGACCTCCTCCTACATATATCCTTATTTTTTTTAGATAGATTTTTATCTTTACGCACGCGCGCGTTTTAGACACTATTTAATATAATATAATATCTAACGGATGTTTTTCAATTTTGTGTGTGCAGTTTTACTTATTATATACTACTACTTATTATATACTAATACTAATTATACTAATGTTATACTAATTCTTTATGATATGATTATTTTATAGTAATTTATACTTACATTAATTTTTACTTATACTGATATTATTAGGTGTACAACTTTACTTCCGCCGTTTTTTTGTAGATCGCTTTAGCGGTAGGTGATAGTCGAAATAAATAGATCATAGATGTCATACAATATACTTGGACATTTGTCAACATAACCCCATAGAAACATTAGTCGATTTGTGTCTCCATCATAAAGTTATTCTCAATTGAAAATGTCTGTGTACGAGCCAAATTCTCGTCATTTGCGGGAGGTTTTAATTTTCTGCTTCAATATGAAGAAATCTGCGGCTGAGGCTCATCGAATGCTCTCAGATACTTATGGTGAGGCTTCTATTAGTGAAAGAACGTGTCGTGAGTGGTTTCAACACTTCAAGAACAGTGATTTTGACGTCGAAGACCGGCATAGCGGTGGAAGAAAGAAGATTGTATTAAGCTATTAAAACCGACTGAAACAATCATAGGCGATCGGTATCGAACGCAATTGATGCGTTTGAGCCGAGCATTGAAAGACAAACGGCCGCAATACAACGAGAGACACGATAAAGTGATTTTGCAGCATGACAATGCTCGACCCCATGTTACGAAAGTGGTCAAGACATACTTGAGAACGTTGAAATGGGAAGTCCTACCCCACCCGCTGTATTGTCCAGACGTTGCTCCCTCTGACTATCACTTGTTTCGATCAATGGCACACGGCCTGGCTGACCAGCACTTCCAGTCTTATGAAGAAGTAAAAAATTGGATCGATTCGTGGATCGCCTCAAAATATGATCAGTTTTTTCGACGCAGGATTCATACGCTGCCCGAAAGATGGGAGAAAGTAGTGGCCAGCGATGGACAATACTTTGAATCATAAATGTATAACTAGTTTTTTACAATAAAGCCTCGAATTTCGGAAAAAAAACGGCGGAAGCAAAGTTGTACACCTAATATAATTATACTAATTTTTATAGCTAATCTTTTTTTCTAAGTTTTGTGTTTATATTTTTTTTACGTCTTTACAATAACTTAAAATTATTGTGTGTTTATTAAATTTTGTAATTTTTTTGTAATTTATTAAATTTTGTCGCATTTTATACATAATGGTTAATGTTTTACATAAATAATTAGATGAGGACATATTTTTTCTTTTTCATTTGCCACAGATCGTTTTGATGTCATATCGTCGTATTTGTACCAATTCGATCCTGCATATGTAAATGCAACGTAATGACCGCTGCTATAACTACTGCCGTATTTAATGTACGATACGATACCTGACAAACTATAATGATTTTCATCAAGGACAAGTTTTGTTATGTTTTCTAATGTTTGATAATTGTTTTCCGTATCTATATTGTTATAGTTCGAAAGACTATAACTTATTATTTCATTGATAATATTAATAGAATATTCGCGAACCGCGCAAAACCGCTAACTCAGCGAGCCACGCGTAAGGACGTCCACCGGAAACGCGAAAAACGCTAACGAAGGGATTCAACTTTGAACCTCCTTTGCTTGCACTTGGACTTTGGACGCCACGAAATAACCTCCGTGATCATACATGGTCATGTCGCTAGGCGATCCCCTCCAAAACACCCCCAAAAACGAGGGAATAAAAGCCGTCCACCGCGAGTCCGCGGCGGACAGTCGTTAATCACAAAACAATCGTTAATAGTGTGAAATCGAAGGCTAACCGCTATACTGTGCGACGAATCACCTGACGAAATTGCCAAACACTCTAAATCTGAAAACGAAGCGATTCAGGAAAGGACGACGAAGAGAAGGCTCGAAAGAAACTGATCAATATCAAATAAGCGAATATATTTGTAGCGAAGAGTTATATAAGAGTATAATAAAATTGTTGCAAAACAACGTTTGGGAAGAATTGGTTGAAGAATCCCGGCTATCCCACACCCCGTGCCGCGTCCGGCACAACATTATTGGTGACAGCGGTGGGATAGCCGAGATCAAGGACCATCCCTGGATCCTTAACGCCTGCAACAAAAAGAAAATACAGAATTAATAAACTGAAGAGAGCAACTGCTATATTAAAGCAGATAGAGTCAACCAGCACGCAACACATACGGACGACAGTGATAAAAGAAATCACGGTCAAGCAGCTGAAAGCCGAAGGGAAACACCAGCGCTCAAGGATCAACGTCGATCCACGGCCAAGGCAACGCAACGCAGACGGACAACGCATCGCCGACGGACAACGCACCAACGCGGGACAACGACCCACCAGCAGCGTCAGCAGTCGAGCGATCTGATAAGTAACCCGATAAATTGCGACCATGCGAATCACCATACTACTACTGTAAGTCGAATTTTATCTAAATGTCAGCGCCGCCAAAACAAGTAAGATTTAAGAGTCCGCGATTTCTGAGCGTGCCAGCTCGATTGGCAAATAGATTCGGAACTGTAACTCCGATAGCAGAAGAAGCTGCTCGCGATATTCGTAGAAGCGTACGAAAAAATTTAGAAAAACATTATTCGAGCTCTGATTCATCCGAGGAACACGAACCGAGTAATAACGATAATTCGGTACAAGATGGACCAAGTCGCGTTACGGTACGAAGAAATTATTCACCGATATCAGTTGATATTAGTTTATTCGAGCCACGTGCGCAAGTAAA